ACTTCCCAAAGGATTTCAGTAATATTTTTAAATAACCCATTTTGTTTAAATTTGTATAAATTTAGCAGCCATACTATTTTCTGCTAAAATTACAAAATGTTGGAGCTGGAAAGGATGTTCAAGTGTTACTCATTTTACATTTTAAAGAAAACTGAGTCAAAAACAAAACAAAACTGAGTCTAGGTACCCTAAAAAGGATGAAATATTCCTTCCAAGAAATGATACCAAGAATATGCACAAGGTATCCCCTAGTAATTGATACACTGAGTAAGATATTTTAAAGTTGAGGGTATAAATTAAATATTCCAAGTTTTACAACAATGAAAAATTCAGCCATGGTCTTTTTTTTTCTTTATTGAAAACCAAAATGCTACCCCCACTATTAACTTAATTCACAGTATTTATTTGCATCCAGTCTTTCAAAAGAATAGTGCCACGATAGAATTTCACATGAAATTTATTTTTAATGTATAACCATCCTATTCTTTTCATCCTCACAAGAATGAAAATATTTGTGGAAAGATTTTAAGAACTTCATTTTTCTACAAAAGGTATTGACAAAACAAATATAAAAATATTGTCTGTCAGAATGAGCAGTAAATTGTGCTAAACTTCCCAATATATGTTACAATGTTTTAGTGATTTGTCACTTTTTTTCAGTATCTTGCCACCATAATTTTTTAAATTTGGGCTTATAAAAGATCTCTTTTTTTAAAGACATTAAGAAAAGGAGAAAGTTGGACAAAGCTCTTTTCCTCTTTATAAAATACTGTAACAGGAATAGGTTTAAAATGTTAGTTCCTTATCCATCAATCACATATTACTTAATGAGGTTCACAAACTGCCTTTATTCTGATTACATTGTTTCCCCTAGATAGGCTTTTTCATGTCTATAAGAAACCTACATATTTTTCATTCAATTTTAAACTAAATGAAAAAGTAGTTTCTTTAGGTAATAACTCTACTGAGCATTATTCCCTCTTGAAGGAAACATACAGCAACAATAATGGTTGCTTCTTTTGAATCCAATATTGAAAAGAATCCCAGATGTCCCTCTAGTGGTGGCCATATATTCCACAAAATTGATGAGTCCTGGTGATGTCCATTTTATGGTGATATATTGGAACTATAGTAATGCCACTCGTGTTTTTCAAATCAGTCATCCTATAATGATACAGTAACCTAGATTTAGGAATTTTAAGGCACACCATATTTTAAAGTTTCAGCAATTTGAATGCAGATTCCATTTCTGAGAGAGTAAACTAGCCAATTTGGGGTCCTTTGTTTTCCAAACGCTAAGTATTTCTGAATGGCTGTGATTGAGTGTCCTCAGTTCCGTCTGCCTCCCTATGAGCCGAGCAAAATGCTGTAGGTTTTGTGGATGCTTTATTAAACATTACATGAGAACTAGATTTGAAGAATTTTCATATCAGAATACAGCTTTCTAATCGTAGGTTGCAGCAACGGTTTCTAAAGTCAAGGTGTCCCTTAATTAGAATTAACAGTTACAAGGAGAGTTGCATAATAAAAACTAATATCTGCTTTTCTTACTTTCAAGAAGACTAAACATTTTTCCTTATCTTGCTGAGATTTCTTTCACTATAAGTATGAGGGTCTGTGGTTTTTCAAGGCCAAGTGCTAGAAAGCCATTTGTTAGCAACAACAGGAAAAAATAGGTCTGAAAGCTCAAAATTTACAATTTGGAGAAGGAAAAAGGAGCAAAATGAGCTAGTTAATAAATGTAATATGGAGCATGTAATGCTGTACATCTATGCTTCCTAAACATAGATTCTAAGTGTCTCTAAAGATTTGCATTTTGAATTGCTGCAAATTTTTTCCAGTGGTATCAAGAGCTTGACATCAGCAAGGTGCAGTGTAGGTGTGTGGACAATGACTGAAGCTGTGGGGGTGCTAGGGGCAGGTAAACTTGAGTCTCTCCACCCTTGTCTCTGTTGAGGGCCATTGGGACCACCATCTGCCCCCTGTCTTCCAACACCTCTGAGCAGGGTATCTCAGGTTCTGTGGTATGGCTACAGCAATGGGCATGGTACCAGAGAGAGATTTTCAATAAAATAACCAAGTCCCTCCCTCACTAGAGCTCATGTAAGTGGGGCAGGAACACTGCCCTGTCGGTCAGATTTGGCATTTGGATCATTAGAGGATCACTGGGATAAGGTATACACTCTGAGAGAGACAGGAGGAGAATTTCTGATAGGACCATCTGAAAATGAAGGTAGGGAGACCCAAAATTGCTTCCTGGCCCAAAGAGTATGAGGAAATGGAGCCAAGAAACAAGAGCCAGAAAGAAATTAGGTCAGAATAGAAATAGTCAGAACAAGCAAAAGAGATGTTGGGTAATTCTGTAATACCCGTAACACTAAAGTTGCCTGAGCTTATCTTACTGGTTTACTGAAGGGATGCAGAAGCACTGGGATGGCTTCAAGGTTACAATTCCCTTCAACTTCATGTTTCCCCACTTAGAATCTACATTTGTTCCTATCCTTTTTATTTTCCTTGTAATTAAGGAGAATGTCTTTTATTCAAGTCCAGCATATTCACCTATATACTGAATTCAATGCCCATCATCCCAATCAACATCCAGCAAAGATTAAGTAGCTATTATGCCCCTTCTCCTCCTGGTACTTCCTCCTTCAAAAATCCCCCTACTGCCCTAACCGGTTTGGCTCAGTGGATAGAGCATCAGCCTGCGGACTGAAGGGTCCCAGGTTCGATTCCGGCCAAGGGCACATCCCCAGTAGGAGGTGTGCAAGAGGCAGCTGATCGATGATTCTCTCTCATCATTGATGTTTCTAACTCTCAATCCCTCTCTCTTCCTCTCTGTAAAAAAAAAAATCAATAAAATATATTAAAAAAAAAATCCCCCTACTGCCTGGGCAGCATGACTTGGTGATTGAGCGGCAACCTATGAACCAGGAGGTCATTCATTTTTCTGTCAGGGTACATACCCCGGTTGTGGGCTCAGCCCCTAGTAGGGAGCATGCTGGAGGCAGCCAATTAATGATTCCCATCATTGATATTTCTATATCTCCCTCTCCCTTTCTGAAATAAATAAAAACATAATTTTTAAAAATCTCCTTACTTTCTCGTTTGGATCCTTCCTCTATAAAGCCTTTTAAATATGCTCAAGATTTGTTCATTAAAACAAAAGCAAAACAGAAACAAAAGCCTTCCATTGTTTCTGTATCCCTTTTAACCACTATTAAAATCATGGGATGGGTCAGAGGTTGGAGTTCACTGCTTGAATTTGGCTTTAAAATAGAGGTGAAGCCGAAACCGGCTTGGCTCAGTGGATAGAGCATCGGCCTGCGGACTGAAGGGTCCCAGGTTCGATTCCGGTCAAGGGCATGTACCTGGGTTGCGGGCACATCCCCAGTAGGAGATGTGCAGGAGGCGGCTGATCGATGTTTCTCTCTCATTGATGTTTCTAACTCTCTATCTCCCTCCCTTCCTCTCTGTAAAAAAAATCAATAAAATATATTTTAAAAAAAAATAGAGGTGAAAATAAATTAGGGATTTTAGAAAGACGATGGTTCAGATTGCCAATCATAAGAGCCCAGTCTGGTAAGAGAAAGAAAATTAAACTATAAGGAAAGAGTCTGATAGAGAGAATATGAGTATTTTCAGAAATCTTAGAGCTGGATGAGGTCAAAGAGAAAGTAATGGGAGAAAGGGTTACGAGAACTAGATAGATTGAAGCAAAGGTTACAATCAAATAGTTAGATATTAAAGCTTAACATTTCTGATGAGGAACAATTTTTGGCGAATGATAAAGGGTTTGGCCATGGATCCCAAAATAAATGTTTCTAGAACTGAGGAGGCCAAAGAATAGAACATAACATGAATAGTTCACATGGATATGACTATCACTCAAGATGAGAGCTACATATGGATTAATCAAAAAGACTATAAGCCAACTCAGGTCTTCTGTGAATAAAGGAGAATAACGAAGATAGGAGATAATTAGGAAGGAGAGAAGAATCTTCAGCTAGATGAAACAAACTTCAAATAAAATGGAGGTTTTACACAAGGAAGTAAGAATAATTGTTTGTCAGTTCATTGTGGAATTAGCATGACCAGTCTAATTCTCAGTCCTGATGCGGTGGGGCACAGAAATAATTACTTGTCATTAAAAGGGCAAGGGGTTGTGGTAACCTTGAGGGAGAGCTACTAGAGGAGATGACTTGAGTAGGGAGAAGAGCAGTTGGAATGTGGTGAGAAAGAATGATGGCCCTAGCAGTAAAATACAAAAAAAGGAAATATGTTCTGAAGATACAAAAGAGATGGGTTGCTTTGGTAACTGATTAAGTGTAAAGACTTAGTAGGAAGAATAAAGGATGACTTTCAGGATTCTGTTTTGGGCAAGTGGGTGTATGAATGTGTTCTTTACTAAAACAGGAGGAGCAGGTTTGGAAGCAAAGATAATGCTGAATTCCCAGACACTGAACAGTTCCCAAAACAAAGAAGGGCATCTAAACTCTAAGGGTCCCCAGAGACTTACAACCAGGGTAGCAGTGGGCAGCGGCAGCTCAGCTGGGGCTAACCCCCTGAACCTGGCTCCAGGCCCCCTTTTTCTCTGACTTCTCAGGGAGCCAAAGCAGCCCCACCTAGGCCCATTTCTTTCCTACCACATTTCTAGAGCCCAAACCGCCAGCTAGGCTCTTCCCTGTTGCTTCTTCTACCCTAAGCCCTTCCTTGTTTCGCTGTCTCCAGCTGTAATAAACATGCCCTAAAAAACAAAACAGTAAAGAAACTCCACCTGCCCCGCAAATCCAAACTTGCCCACCAGGCCGTGGGAACAGGAAACCAAGGGCGTGGCAAGGGCAGGCCTCCGGCTCGGTGCAGGGCGGGGCTGC